GTATGCGTTGTTATATGGGATGGGTTGAGGTTGTACTGCTTCGTGCGGTAGCCAACAAACCCTAGGAGCAATCCGGTTACGGGCTAAGGGAGACTCATACGGTGGGCTCGGGAGCAATCCAGTTACGGGCTAAGGGAGACTCGTACTGTGGGCTCGGGAGCATTCTAGTTACGGGCTAAGGGAGACTCGTACTGTGGGCTCGTGGGTATTTCAGTCTGTAGGGCTGTGGACCCGTTATGTGCTGTTCTGTTCAGTTTATTATGATATGTTATTGTTGACATGGTTATGTGGACTGTATGTGTATCGGTATTTTGGGGGTAACTCACTAAGCTTTCGGGCTTATAGTTTCAGTTTATTGTTTCAGGTGCATCAGAGGATCGTGGCAAGGCAAAGGCGTGATCGTACAGCTCCTCACTTTTTATGACTATGTTTCTGGGATACTCTGATATTTTACATTTTGAAAACAAGTTTGTAATAACTAATGGCTTTTGGGTTGTTTAAAAAGTTTTAAATTGGCTTGAATTTTTGGGTGTTACAAGTTGGTATCAGATCCTTGGTTTGAGTGAATTAGAGGAACACTCGTGTGACTCCAGTCTCAAATCAAGGAAAGGATTTTCAAAATGATTTTTCAAAAAGGTTTTCAAAATAAGTAAAGGAGGATGCAGGGTGTACGATCAGCCGAAGCCAGTAAGTAGACCCCAAAATACCATAAAAATGTGATTATGTGATATGTTAGAACAGCATGCTAGTGCTAGGCTAGGGATATTCAGGAATTGCATGATAGAATTGCCTGATTACATGATGCCTGCTAGCCTAGGGTTTCCTTTATATGAGATTGACATCATTACTGTAGTTGCTTAGTGTATGCATCACAGTTGTACATAATTAAGATCTTATAGCCTGAGAATGTTTGATTTGGCCTTATGTTCTGTTCTTGTTTGATTGGGAGCTTAGGGTAGGATTGGATATTCGAAAGTCTATAGGGTCCAGCGTTATGTATGGCTAGCATACACTAGTGCTGCAGGGTTGGTGGAAGTTTAATGGATGAGTGGGTTGTGTGAGGCCGGCAGGCCAGTTATGAGATATTTAGCATTCCTCTAGGAGTGAGGATTGAGTGCTCGCCATGTTGTGTATATTGTTAGGGTGTTGTGGTGATACTTGAGAGAAATATGGGTAGGTGTGGAAGGTAGTAGGGGCCCATACTACTGAAAGCACAGGACCCGTACGCGTAGCAAGGAAGTCACAACCCTAGGATTGGGTAGGGAGTTGGTCCCCTGTCTCTATATGGGTTATCAGTGATCCTTCTGGTGTGTTACCAGAATGGTGGTCACGAGACATCTTGAGACCGGATCCAGGTTAGGATCGGGAGCTGGCAGCCAGGATAGGCCAGCGTTGTCAAAGGACCGTGTTAGTGAGATCATCCGGGAGGAGGTCATCGAGTTGTCTGGGGACAGTTTTCAGGGATGTTTTGGTCTATTAAGACCGCCATGGTTGAGTATTTCGACGAGCGCTATGTAGACATTACCGAGTCGGTTGCCGCGGCAGCTATATCAGTTGTAACGATGGCAAGGGGGAGGAGCTGGTCGAGATTTTCAGTACCAGGACTTGTTACTGTGACATATTCTGATGAGCAGAGGGCTGCAGTTACTTGGGATCAGGGAGATGTTCTGTACTTGTTACATTCCGCGGGTTAAGCGGGAGAGTCTAGCACATGAGTTTCTAGATTTGAGGCTTCGGGGGGGGGGGGGGGGTGGGGGGAGGGGGGGGGGGGGGGGGGGGGGGGTTTTGCTCGAGGCCGGAATTGAGTCGCGGGGACTCCAGAAAGGAGTAATGATTATGTTCAGCTGGAGTTATGCAGCTGGAATTAGAATGGTTAATTGATAGGATTGAAATGTTGTTTTCTAGGGCAAGGAATGTGCCCTTTCACTTTACGAGCTCGAAGGATTGAGCAGGCTTGTGACCCCAGGATCAGGTTGTATTCTAGCTCGGGGTCAGTTGGTCACCGAGATTGGCGACAGTAGTTCAGCGCGGGTAAGCGCAGGTGGGTCGATGTGGCATAAGTATTTGGAGGTCCAGTTCGTCTTGATCTCTTGTATCAGACGGTATGGAATGATTGTGCGATCTATTGCACTCTTGGGATTGTAGACTATGCATGGCGAGCAGTTGTAGCCCAGATTAGGGCAAAGGTTATTTCAGCTACTGCAGTTCAGCTGTGGATGATTGAGCTGGTGAGTGAGTCAGGATGCTAGGCCCTGAATGATATGAGTTCTAGAGTCGAGAGCGGGGGGATTTGTTGGAGCACTTTGGGGAAGAAGGGTATTATGTGGGATGTCTGCGGACAAGGTCCCCAAGATGGTTATTCAGCATTTTCAGGATTAAGTGGTTTTAGTAACCGTTATTGATCGGCGAATGAGAACGCCAAGGGAAATAGCTTGTTGCTGAAGTATTAGTAGAGCATTTATCTTTGGACTTCAAGATTCTGAGTGTGGGATCATTCGAGCATTAGGGACTGTTGGTTCCCTGGGATTTAGGAAGTGTTCATCTAGCGATTAGGAGCGTGTGATCATTTGGGGTTGGCTAGTAAAGGAGTACTAGTTAGAAGGGTCTGGTTGTCATTAGATCGATCGTTGGAAAGTAAGAAGGATTGGGAATTCTCAAATTTCCATGTATTGTGAAGACTTTGTTGAATCTAAGTGGGGGAGAATCGACCCGGGATGCAGAAACAGCATCGGTTTTGAAAGTGGGATAAGTTTCGCATCGTTGTCAGGAAGGAAGACAACCCAAGTGGCTGTTTGGTTTGAGAGTTATGTGAGCTGGGAGTTCGGTAAAACTCCCCAACATGGAAATCGTGTCCTTTTGGTGCTTGATAGCAGAATTTGGGAAATCAGGTTGGGATTCTAGCCATGATTTTAGTTCAGTGATGTGTTAGGTCGAGTGCGTGTTCGACCCGGTTTGGAAAGTGTTGTAAGAGTACGGGGGTAGCCGTAGCATCTGCTAGTAGTCAGTTTGCATGGGAAGTGTTGTAAGACTACGGGGGTAGCCGTAGCATTCACTAGTGGTCAGTTAGTATGGAAAGTGTTGTAAGACTACGGGGGTAGCCGTAGCATTCGCTAGTAGTCAGTTTGCATGGGAAGTTTTGTAAGACTGCGGGGGTAGCCGTAGCATTCACTAGTGGTCAGTTAGCATGGGAAGTGTTGTAAGACTGCGGGGGTAGCCGTAGCATTCACTAGCGGTCAGTTAGTGCTAGAGTGTTGTAAGTCTGCGAGTGTTGTCGTAGCATTCACTAGGTTGGTAGATAGCATGAGCGCGTTGTTAGGACGCATAAGAGACTATAATAACCACCATTTCGGGTGTAGCAGTAAGGATATGGAAATTCACGGATGGGTTTATGGGTTTTCCCAGAGGGATTTGACCTAATTAAGCTAGTGATAAGACTGTAGGAATGTCACTACAGTTATGAAATTAAGGAAGCAATGGATTGCTTAAGGTTGCTTGTGATGTAAGGCTATCATTGGTCATGTAGCAATCGCTTTATCCGTGGACTTGGTAGAGACGGGATACGACGCAGGGATCCAATCAGTTGGATCAGGAGGTTGCTAGGGTCGCAGTGGCATGATAACTAGTGGAAACTAGTTCCAGGGAAGGATTTCGTTCAGAAGTCGTGTGAGGCAACTATGTGGGAGTCTTTTAGCTCCGCGACCAGGTCGAAACCCGGTATTTCAGATAAACGTTACTCAGTTGTGTTGAATCAAAGGATTTTGGATGAGACGCAAGGGTAGGTCCCTGAACTTCAAGTTGCGAGTTTTGACCGGAGTCGTATATAGTGGTATTCTGATCTAGGGTATTCCATCCCGAGGATGACTGGACCCTATGATTGATTGGACATGGCGTGTTGGTATTCCAACCCGAGGGTTGATTGGGCCAAACATGCACAGGATACAAGGGTATTCTATCTCGAGGATGACTGGACATGTCGTAGGCATGTCTGGTATTCCAGCCTGAGGCTGATTGGACCAGGTATGAGTGTTCGGCCTTATGAGCCGGTTATTATAGGAATTGGTTATCAAGATGAATTTGTCTTGAAGGAGTACCTAATCTCTTGTCAAGAAGAGAATTACAGGTAGCAGTGTGGGATATGTGATTCTTTTATCGGGTGGGAATCCCAGGTTCTTAGCAGTTGAGTAGCCAATTGGGAGTTAAGTGCAAGGAATTCCATCTCAAGAATTCAGATTTCAGATTGAGTAAATGTGATCATATTGCAAGGGATTTGTTTATGTTCAAGTTTTAGAACCCTGCGAGGGTTGGTTACGGTTGCCTTGGAAAGGCTAGGGTTATGCTCGGGATTGTAGCCAAGTAGTTCAAGTTGTTGGCGTGTAAAGGATGATAAGAAACGATTTCGAGGACGAAATCAAATTTAAGTGGGGGAGAGTTGTAACATCCCATTTTAAAGAGAGTAATTAAATAATAAATCAGGAACCTCAGGAAATAATAATTATTATTATTTTATATTATTAGGGCTCAGAAATTAAAATAATAATTAGTGGGGTGTTGGTTTCGGGAAACCAAATGGCAAGAATTGAATCTCTAGGGGTTAAAGTGTAATTTCAGGACTTAATTTGTAAAGATTTTCATAAGTCAAGGGGTGTTTGGTAAGTTCGGGCCTGATTTGAAAAGAATTATAGAGAGCAGGGTTAGAAAGGTAAATTATGAGTTAGTTTTGAAAGAATTTGGGGAAGGAGGGGTTAATCTTATCAATATGGGATAGATGGTATGGGACTCGGGATATAAAAACCCATCATCCCGTGAACCCTAACCCTAGCTATGAACAGCCGCCAACCTTGCCTTCACCCTCCTTCACCTTCAGCGCCGCTACCCCCTCCCCTTCTCTGTCGAGTTACCTTGCACCGCCATTGCTGGAGTCGTCAAGCATCACCACCGCAACCCTTGTCGGTTCTGTTGTCGTGTTTGGTCGAAGGATATTCCCGAGAGAGAAGCTGTCGATGCCGTGTTCTTCTTCTTCTTCTCTCTCTCTCTTCTCCGCTCCTTGCCGTCGTTGCTGTCGATTCGAAGCTGCCATCGATCCTCCTGCCGCCAATGAAGTCGTGAGCAGCGAGGGTTTCTCTTGGGTCGCCGGAAGCAGGGAGGCGAGACCGGTACCGTTGCTGCTGTCAACAGGGAATCAGCCCCAACCGTGTCATTCCTCTCGATCTCCGTTCCCGTTCCGGTGTAGCGTCGCTGCTACCGTTTCTTGAGCTGCTGCCGTCGCCACCCACCTGTGGTGGGTGATGGGTTATTTTCCAAGCAAGAAGTCTGATGAAATAATTCAGAAGTTTAGTTTGTCACTTAATTAGTTTGAATAAAAGTCAATTTGTTGACCGTTAGAATTAGATGCACGTTTAGTTTGATTCAATCAAAGCCATGTTGGCTAAGAGACCTAGTCTCATGCATGTAGTGGTAGTTGCAGTATTTCTCGCAGTTTTTTTTTTTTGTTTTGTTTAAATATGTTATGCATGTAATCGTTGAGTATAAAAAAAATCTCCTCTCATTTTTCAATTTACAGAGAAAAGCTTTAAGCTTGAAATAGTCTGAGTCATTCTTTGTTCATCTTGATATTGTACATAGCCATTGTCTGAGTATTACAGGTTTGTGAAAAACCAACATTTGGTATCAGAGCGAATCTGGTGCATGCCCAAGTATCAAGCTCGTGGAGAAATGGCAGGAGGCAACGGTGGCAATGGTGAAAAAGACGGACTCGTAACCCTCCACTATCCGATGTTGACAAAGACGAATTATGGAGCATGGGCAATTAAGATGCGGGTGTACATGTTGGCCCAAGGCGTCTGGGATGCTGTAGAGCCCAGAACCTCAAATACCCTTGTTGAATCAAAGAAAGATAACATGGCATTGGCCGCCATTTATCAGGGTATACCGGAAGATCTACTGATGGTTTTGGCGGAGAAGAAGACGGCCAAAGAAGCTTGGGATGCTCTCAAAACCATGTACGTAGGAGCTGACAGAGTGAAGGTTGCAAGGATTCAGACGCTGAAGGCTGAGTTCGAAGCACTGTGCATGACAGAAACGGAAAGTGTCGACGACTTCACCGGAAAAGTAACCAACACTGTAAGTACACTTCGCACTCTGGGAGACAAAGTCGATGAATCTCAGGTGGTGAAGAAATTGCTCAGAGCTGTGTCATCCAAATTTGTTCAAATTGCTTCAACACTCGAACAATTTGGGAATTTGGATGATATGTCAGTCGAAGAGGTGATCGGAAGACTTAAAGCATACGAAGAACGAATGAAGGGTCGTGGTGAAAGCGATGAACGGAAACTTCTTTTGACGCACAAAGAATGGTCTGAAAGAAACAAGAAGAAAATAGAGGGTGATACGAGACAAAATCGAATCGTGGTGGTCATGGAGGATCACGGGGTGGTCGTGGCCGAGGAAGAGGTAGAACTGGTGGCCGTGGTGGCCGTGGAAGGGGAAATTCACACCATCAGAAAGAAAGAGGTCAAAGCTCATCAAATAATCGAGATAAAAGCGAGGTTCAGTGTTACAACTGCCAGGAATTCGGGCATTATGCAGCCGAATGCACGAATCCCAGAAAAGAGCGAACCCACGAAAGCAATCTGGTACAAGATGATAATGAACCTGCACTGCTGTTGTCATCACTCGAAGGGAAGAAGAAACCGGTGAAGTATTCTTAAATGAAGAAAACGTGAAACCAAAATTGAGAACACATGGAGGTGAATCAATCCAGTCAAACCTGTGGTACCTTGACACAGGTGCGAGTAATCACATGACTGGAAATGTGAGCAAGTTCCGAGAATTAGACAGAAAGACAAGTGGATTCGTGAAGTTTGGCAACGAATCCAAAGTGAGAATTGAAGGAAAGGGAACAATCGTGTTTAAATGCAAGAATGGAGAACAGAGGAAGCTGCAGAATGTATACTACATACCCGATTTATGTAGTAACATCATAAGTCTTGGGCAATTATCAGAATGTGGGGACGAAATCAGAATCAAAGAGCCATGGTTGTGGGTCAGAGATAAGGAAGGAAGACTGTTGATGAAAGTTCACAAGTCACCAAACCGCCTCTACAAGATCGAATTGGAGGAGGTTATATCAATGTGTCTATTAACTCAAGCTTCTGATCCAACTTGGTTATGGCATATGAGGTTGGGACACATAAACTTCAATTCAGTGAAGTATATGACAGACAAGAAGCTGATAGAAGGTGTTCCAAAGGTGACAGTTCCTTCACAACCCTGTGAAGGATGTCTTGTGGGAAAACAAGCGAGGAAGCCATTTCCCTTGAAAGCAAGTTTCAGAGCAAAGAAAAAGCTAGAACTTGTACATGGAGACCTCTGTGGCCCAGTCTCACCACCCACACCTTCGGGTAACAGGTACTTTATGCTAATTGTTGATGACTTTAGCAGGGTAATGTGGGTTTATCTGATGAAATCAAAAGAGGAAGCCCTTCAAACTTTTAAAAGTTTCAGAAAGAAAGTTGAGACAGAAACAGGGGAGAAAGTCAAGGTGTTCAGAACTGATCGAGGTGGTGAGTTCTTGTCAAATGAATTCACAAGATACTGCAATGAAACAGGCATGGAGAGGCATTATACGTCTCCCCACTCTCCACAGCAAAATGGAGTTGTAGAGAGACGTAATAGAACTGTATTGGAGATGGTTAGATGCAATTTGAAGACAATGACAATGCCAGATGTCCTATGGGGAGAAGCAGTATCACACTCTGTTTATGTCTTAAACAGAGTACAAACCAAAGCCTTGAAGGACACAACCCCATATGAAATGTGGACCGGTAGAAAGCCTCACATTGATCATCTAAGAGTCTTTGGGTGTATTGCTCACATGAAAGTAGCAAAGGGCCATTTGAAAAAGCTGGAAGATAGGAGCATGCCACTGGTTCATCTCGGAGTTGAAAAAGGATCGAAGGCGTACAGATTGTTAAACCCAGTCACAGGGAAAATGTATGTAAGCCGTGATGTGGTATTTGAAGAAAATAAAGCATGGAATTGGGAAAAATGTGAGAAGATCAAAACAACACCTGGCATGAGCTTCACTGTCGAAGGCTTTGAATTCGCTGATGAATACTATGAAGACGAGGGAGAGTGGGTGCCAGATACGCCAGACCAAAATAGTGGGTCACCACAGTCAAATGTTAATTCGGGTTATATTGACCAGTTGGGTCACCCGGATATAACCCCCCTAAATACCCCTATACACTCACCAGTTACGCCCAATTCCCCAATTGTTCAATCTTCCCAAAATTCTCCGATCAATCCCAGCACCGCCTCAAGTTCCACCGGTGGCGGTGCCCCAAAACGATTCAGAACACTCACTGACTTGTACGAGAACACCGACGAAGTCAATTTGCCCCCTGAAGAACTGATGCTGATTCGAAATGATGAAGAGCCGTCGACCTACATTCAAGCCTGTAGAAAGAAAGAATGGCGTGAAGCAATGAAAGCTGAATTAGCATCGCTCGAGAAAATAACACATGGAAGCTGGTCGATCTTCCTAAGAATCGAAAGGCGATTGGTTTAAAATGGGTATTCAAACTGAAAAGGGATCCGAGTGGAAAAATTATAAAACACAAGGCAAGGATCGTAGCGAAGGGGTATGCACAACAACACGGAATTGATTTCGATGAGGTATTCGCGCCGGTGGCCAGAATCGAAACAATCCGATTGATTTTAGCGTTAGCAGGCTCAAATGGGTGGAAAATACATCACTTAGATGTGAAATCAGCGTTTCTAAATGGCGAATTAGATGAAGAAGTCTACGTATCCCAGCCAGATGGTTACCAAAAGAAAGGAGAAGCTCACAAAGTCTACAAGCTATCCAAAGCTCTTTACGGGCTTAAACAAGCTCCAAGAGCTTGGAATGCTTGCCTGGATCGCTATCTGAAGAGCCTCGGATTCAAGAGATGTGCTTATGAATACTCAGTCTACACGAAGAAGGAAGGAAAAAGCACTCTAATACTCGGAGTGTATGTAGACGATCTCTTGGTGACAGGGAACTGCACTGAAAATATTCAAATATTCAAGAGAGACATGAACATCAAATTCGAAATGAGTGATCTCGGGCTTTTATCCTACTACCTGGGGATTGAAGTGAATCAGAAAGGAGATGGGATCACATTAAAACAAGCTGCATATGCAAGAAATCTCCTCATCAAAACAGGTATGCAAGACTGTAACCCCACACGAACTCCAATGGAACAAAAGCTCAAATTACGCAGGGATGAAGAAGGTGAGCTTGTAAACAGCACTGAGTATCGAAGCATTGTGGGAGCATTGAGGTATTTAACACACACACGGCCTGACATTTCCTTTGCTGTTGGGATTGTTAGCCGCTTTATGGAGAAACCAGCTTTGAAGCACCTTCAAGCTGTAAAAATGTTACTCAGGTACATCAAAGGCACATTGGAGTTTGGCCTAAAATATTCAAGGGGAAAAGAAGACGCAGATCTCGTTGGATACACTGATAGTGACCTTGGCAATGATGTAAATGACAGAAGAAGTACAGGGGGTATGGCATATTATGTGAATGAGAACTTAATTACATGGGCTTCTCAAAAACAGAGGTGTGTGGCTCTCTCCTCATGTGAAGCAGAGTTCATGGCTGCAACCATGGCTGCTTGCCAAGGGATATGGCTAAGGAGGTTGATCAGTGAAATAACGGGACAAAAAGTACCACCTGTGACAATTATGGTGGATAACAGGTCATCACTAGACTTGATGAAGAATCCAGTCTTTCATGGCAGGAGTAAACACATAGACATCCGATTCCACTTCATTCGCGAGTGTGTCGAAAATGGGGAGATTTCAGTCACACACGTATGCAGCAAGGAGCAGAAGGCAGATATTCTAACCAAGCCACTTGGTAGAATCAAGTTCGAGGAAATGCGAAGTCTTCTCGGAGTTCAAAAGGTATGACTTCTGAATTAAGGGGGAAAATGATGAAATAATTCAGAAGTTTAGTTTGTCACTTAATTAGTTTGAATAAAAGTCAATTTGTTGACCGTTAGAATTAGATGCACGTTTAGTTTGATTCAATCAAAGCCATGTTGGCTAAGAGACCTAGTCTCATGCATGTAGTGGTAGTTGCAGTATTTCTCGCAGTTTTTTTTTTTTGTTTTGTTTAAATATGTTATGCATGTAATCGTTGAGTATAAAAAAAATCTCCTCTCATTTTTCAATTTACAGAGAAAAGCTTTAAGCTTGAAATAGTCTGAGTCATTCTTTGTTCATCTTGATATTGTACATAGCCATTGTCTGAGTATTACAGGTTTGTGAAAAACCAACAAAGTCGAGGTCTCTGTGAGTATTTTGTGTGTTGTTGCTTCAAGCTCGTGGGTATATGTGTGTGTGTGTGTGTTCAGCCGTGACTCACTAGTTGGTGGGAGTCTCGGATTTACTGCTGCCGGAGAAAAGCCAAGGAAGAACCACCATGGCCGCCGGCCATGGTGGCTGCCGCCTCAAGGACCGCCATGGAGGGTGTGTTTGATGCTGTGTGTGAATTATTTTGTGTGTGTTAATTAGATGCTATTGTAAATTGTAACAAAAATTTGAATAATGGAAGAAAAGCTTGAAACCACCACCCTGAGGTGGTGGTTGCCACCTCCTGCCGCCACCGGCCGCCAAGTCGGGTGGCTGTGTGCTTTGAGTTGGACCTCATTTGGATGTTTGGGCAAGGGGCTACTAAACCCTAATGGGCCAAAAGAAACCTTAGTGGGCCCAAAGAGACCCCAATGGACATAATAAGACCCTATTGGGCTCAATAAGGCCCAAAGTGACTTAGATGCTCAACCGATTGACTAATGAGCTAGTATTGGGTAGGAAACCTTAATTAGGGTTTGGAAAACCCTAATAGCATAAAACTCTAATTCTTGAGAATTAATCGACACACACGAGATTATTTAATAACTTGAAATATTAAATAATAATCTTTGGCAAATTAACGTAAGACAATAATGGACTTAATGGATTAAGTCATTTAAGGGTTAAGTAAGAAACACTTAACCCTAATCATCATTTCATGTGAAAGCCTTAATCTCATTTGGGCCTTGAATTGGGCCTTCCTTTTGGGCTTTGGCGATTGGACTATTAATGGATTGTCCAAGAACAAGTTAATGGATCAAAACAAGTAGATGGGCTTTAGGATAAGGCCCATGTGAGGACTTGGGTCCAGATTGGAAAATTGGGCCATATGTTGGACTTTGACCCATTATTTTACTTTTGGGCTTTTGTAGTGTGAGTTGGACTTTGGGCTTGGAACCCAATTATTAATTGGGTTTTGTTTGATGTTGACAGTTCGGGAATCTGTCAACCAGCAGTTGGAGCTTTACCTGCGGGACTTCAGCAGTGCCAGGTGAGTTATCCTCACTATACTATGGGGTCTAAGGCACCAAGGCCGGCCCATTGGATACGTTATCCTAGCAGTGTTAGATGTTGAGTATGTGTTAGTTTTGCATGCTAGTGGTTATGCCAGTTAGGTAGACCTGTAGAACTACCTGTGATGTTATGTGATTATTGCATGCTCAGTGGTTATGTATGCGTTGTTATATGGGATGGGTTGAGGTTGTACTGCGTCGTGTGGTAGCCAACAAACCCTAGGAGCAATCCGGTTACGGGCTAAGGGAGACTCGTACGGTGGGCTCGGGAGCAATCCAGTTACGGGCTAAGGGAGACTCGTACTGTGGGCTCGAGAGCATTCCAGTTACGGGCTAAGGGAGACTCGTACTGTGGGCTCGTGGGTATTTCAGTCTGTAGGGTTGTGGACCCGTTATGTGTTGTTCTGTTTAGTTTATTATGATATGTTATTGTTGACATGGTTATGTGGACTGTATGTGTATCGGTATTTTGGGGGTAATTCACTAAGCTTTCGGGCTTACAGTTTCAGTTTATTGTTTCAGGTGCATCAGAGGATCGTGGCAAGGCAAAGGCGTGATCGTACAGCTCCTCACCTTTTATGACTATGTTTCTGGGATACTCTAATATTTTTCTTTTTGAAAACAAGTTTGTAATAACTAATGGCTTTTGGGTTATTTAAAAAGTTTTAAATTGGCTTGAATTTTTGGGTGTTACAATGATGGATTAGTTTCAGCAAGATATCGAACGAATGGGGGTGTTCCCCGACCACCGCCGCCGCCCACAGCAGCCGTTGTTGTTTCCTTCGTTCTTCTTATCTATTTCTCTCTTCCTCAGCATCACAAAATCGCACACACACATGCAGACAAAAATGGAGAGTCAATGGTCTCTCTCTCTCTCCTTCTCCTGCCGATTAACGCATGAGCACTGTGTGCGTACTGTTTTGGGCCAAGCGCACATAAAAGGAAAAAAAATGCAAACATGTTTCTTCTTTGTATCGTTTCAGGAAGCGTCCCTGGAAATAAACTCATACAACCTGATTTTAACTTGGTAGCTAATCAAAATTACCAAATTGCCCTTACCTCGTTGGCTTAGAATAATTTCCAAGCAAAAATTATGATTTTTCCTTATATTTCCAACCTCTGTAAGAACTCCCATTTGGGAAAACTTTATATAGTTGGAAAGCCTGTTAGGAATAGTACAAGTTTCATATTATTTGTTTTATCTAAATTTGTCCAGAACCGGAGTTATTCAGCCGTGAACATGGAGGTATGCATATTTCAGCATTTCATGTGTTTGAACAAACAATCTTCAAGCAACCATATCTCATTCATTACACATCTATTTTATCTGATTTGTGTTGCTTTGCATTCTATGTTTTATAGACTATAACTGTACTATATAAAGTTATTTCTAATCAGCTATAGTTATCGAATTATTAAGCTCCAAAGTTGACATCTTGCAGCTGTCAAATTTCCAAATCAACTTTCGTTAACTTTTTGTCCAACTTTGCAACTTTATAGATTCTTCGTATGAACTCATTTAAGCTGGTTTTTGTTGCTATTGCTTCATTTTCAAGTCCACTACAAGTTACCTTTCTACCATTTTCCCTTACCTTATAGATTCTTCGTATGAACTCATTTAAAAACACATTCTAGAATGCAAAACCCTTGTTCGGAATGCAGGGAACTTGTCTAGAAGGTGCAATAGTTTTTGAAATAAAAGTGTAGAATCCTGTTCTAGGCCATTAGTTAGCCTTAAATGTATTAGAGAAGTAGTAAATGGTATGAGTAGTGCTTGTCTATTCTCTTAAAGCAACATTTCTTCATGCTTAGAATACCATGTATGGAATAAGAACAATCCAAAACGAGATGAACAATGTGGAACACTTCGAATAGTCTGGAGTCTTCATGCTTAGAATCCATGTATGGAATAAGAACAATCCAAAACGAGATGAACAATGTGGAACACTTCGAATAGTCTGGAGTGGTGTCTAACATAGACCATATCTTTTCATTGAAGGTAACTTCGATAAAACTGAATTTAGCATGATGGTGTGTACAAAACTTTGTTGACCGTGATATGAAAAACCTAAAATGGTTCGTAGATGTTTGGTAAAAAATGTGCTAAGTGTAACTCAACCATATTAGTAAAGGTTGGAGTGGTGTGATCGGAATGCAATATAAGGTACGAGGATTATAAGGAAAGCCATTGATATTGACTAAGATCTCCGACATAAAACCTTGGGAGCTGGCAAATTTCAAGTTGTCTTTTGTTGTGCTTATTGGTTAACTGAAAGAGTATACACCGAAGAGAATTATTTTGTTGATTGCAAGTAAAAAATAGTGTGTTCTAGTGTGTAAATATGTGAGATTACCAGCTATTTATACATAATATTTCCAACGACTAGTAACAACTATGCTAAAATCTCGGCATTATCTTCTATTGTGAGATTATTAGCGACCAGGTCTTTTTCCGTGTGTTTCTTGATGAGATTCCGAGTTATCCGGGTTTTCATTGACACATTCAACACCTCAATCAAAGAGATAGACAAATAAAGATAAAAATAATTTAATTAGTAGCGTCCAACATCTTGAACAAGATGTTAGTCAAGATGTTGTCTGGCATGCTATCCCGAATCCTCTGCTTTTCTCAAATTATACAAACTAAAACTACTTGATCATCAAACATCACTATCAACAACATTACACCACCGACAAGATGTGAATAACTAACCTACATGATATTGAAACTCCTCACGTATTACAGTTTCTATCTTAAATATGCGATAAGAGGAATTGCACTGATTTACAAGTTAGGTTGAGACTATAGAGGTAATTACTCTAGACATTTGAAAAAACCAAGATATCAAAGGGCAAACCTTTCATAAAGTAAATAAACCTATAAACATCTCGTCGGAGATTTCCATCGAACAGTCAGTGTTCATCTAAAACAAAGGTAATAGTGAATGTATTATATTTTAATCACAACCAAGAAAAGTATAATATTGTTTAGTGACTTAAGGCAAAAAAGATAAATGAAAAAACGAATTAAAAACAATTAATTTCGAGAGTCACGAGATTTCAAAATGAGAGGCAAATGACTTACAATTGTTGAAGGCTCTAGAATGTATTCATCTGTATCTACAAAAAAAAAATAGAAAAATATAAGAAATGGATTGGATACGGATCATGCATACTTCCGTATTGTAACGCCAAAAGTACCAATAAACTACTTTTGTCTTTTCTTTCTCGCATCTAACCATATTAAATAGTTGATTAGGGTTCTTAATTTCATAATCAACCATAGGATTCCAAGATTCAGAATTATTATTTAACGCCACTGCTAAATTGCGATTTGTTGTCCACCTTGTAAAAATATAGTGAATATTGAAAGACACGGATCATGCAAAATAACCATTGGTGGAAAAAAGGAACAAAAGGATCAAATACTAGGTTCACTGGCCATGGTAAAAAGTTCAGGGGGCGCCATGGTAGATACGCTTGCATATAACATATGCTCTTCGTGCTGCGCCTTGCTGAGGTTCTACTTCTTAAAGGCATCAACATCTTCTCATCAGACTTTTCTTCATAGACGTAAGTGTTTCCAGAGATAATGTTATCATATCCTAGATCCTCATCACTAACATGCACCATGGAGCCATAATCAGAGATGCAAGTTGTAAATTGTTGGTGGACTTCCACATCTCTCTTGTACACAATATGTGCCCCACATCTTACAGCTCTTCTGCCATTCGATAACATTACAGTCATGTGAAGATTACCTTCAATATGAGACCAATCTTCAGGTTGAAGATCGTGATACATCTGCTGAAAGAAACCCATCGGAATATAGCTTATCCACATATTCCCATTCTCGTATGTTTTGTTTGCATTCTTCATACAGTTAACCTCGGACATAGGAATCCCCTTTCCATCTCTTACAATTCTGAAGACAATGCGAGGAACAGTGGCTTCCGACCACTGATTCCCATGAAACACACCACATAACACGAAACCCATGACATGGGCGTCCCATTTGTGAGGTAACTTTAATGTTACTCTGCACCCATGCTTTTCTTCAATGAACCAGCTTGGAATCTTGCTACCAGGAACATTGATACTTAACCGATGATTTACTGCAGCACATTTCTGTAACAAACAAAAACATCATGCTTAGTTTTTGGAACAATATAAGCGTTTCTTCCATGATAGTGGGGTGACTGTTAGTTATTTGTTGTCGGATGTTCAAGATTTTCTCATGAAATGCGGGACATTAATGTTAGAAGTATAAGCTAGACTTGCCCCTAAGGAATATAGTTATTATATATGCAGTTATAAATTCGGTTGCTATGGAAGTTAAGTTGGTTAACACAATCAATAAACGTCAACCTTGAAAAGTTGTGATGGTCAACATGAAGATGTGCAATGGTTGAAGAAAACGATGCAACGTTTAGAAGGGTTGTGTCTGTTGAAGTCTATATATATGTGTGCTATGTAAATTGTAATATTTGTGGAGTTAATAAAGAAATTCTCCTTTACATTCTTCCCGATGCAAATGATCGTACAAGTTCTTTATGTTAGATTAAATCCAACAGATGATTACATGATGATCGGGAAGAATGATCCTCCATGGATTTGTTGTTACACAAACTTGAGGAAATATTGGAATTGCTTATTAACTCCAACAACTACAGGACAGGTTGTACTGTGTTTATGGACCAGACATTAATGGGACAAACATTGCAAAAGTACTTTCCCATCCAATCCTTTCCGGCTTGACAAAAAAGGCCTATGTAAATTAAATAGGATAATAGAGATAGAGGGATGACCTTAATGAAAGACAGTTGCAACATCTTATCAAGGCATCTTAGACTCTCTTCATCCTCTAGAAGTTTTTTGCATTGAATTAGCCATATCTTATACAACCATTCGCCCTCTTTTGATATATCTCCGATCTTTTCCAATGATATACAATGATTTGCCTTCAATAATTGTATGCTAGATGGAAGCACACACAACCTTCGAAGTTGGCGACACTCATTCAACTCTAGGCGTTTAAGACGAGAAAGATGGAAGATACTTGCAGGTAACTGGACTAGCTTAGAGTTGCCACTTAAAAATAATTCTTCCAAAGAGGACAACACATCAAGATTATTGGGGAAGCTTTCCTCTTCAATTTCTCTCCAACTGAGATCTAATTTTCTCAAGGATAACAAATTTGTGAAACTATGAAAACCAACACTCTTCAGTGGCCTTCCAATTATGTGATCACGCTCAAATCCTAACCAAAGTTCTTCTAGCATTTGCATGTTTTGCAGCTTCTCTGGAAAATCTTTTAGTTTGACACAGTTGTGAAGATGAAGACACTTAAGATACTTCAACTCACAAATAGAATCTGGTATGTCCTTAAGATTGTTACAGTTTGTGAGATTCAAGTAGCTTAGGTTAGTCAGATATCGAATTGATGAGGGTAAATCTTTTATTTGAGAACAAGAATGAAGATTTATGTGTGATAATTTTACCATACATGGGGAGACTTCTGGAAACCTTTCAAGACTCTCGCATCCAGAGAGAATTAGAGTCTCCAAGGATTCCATCTCAATTCTGGATGGGAGGCGGCTGAGCTCACTGCAACCATTCATATCCAAGTAAACAAGTCCTCTATGAGATCCAAGAGACTCGTGAACCTCCTCCAAACTATCACAATCTGACAAAATTAACCTCTCTATATTTGGGGCCCCAGACACATCTGGAAGAGATCTGAGGTTGTACAAGCTTTTAAGGTGAATGAATTTCAAGTGCGGAAGAATCTGACAAGTAAAACAGAAACAAAAGCTAAATATTGAGATCATATAGAATTTGACACATACACGTTATAGATGTAAATGACATGAACAAAGAAAGTGATTTCATTCACTAATACCTTTCGCCCCTTCCATAAATGTTTGATGTCTCCTTTGGCCATTTCCAGCCCAACAAGCTTACACATATCTGCTAGTGGAAGAATCAAGAACGGGTACTCATTCCAACAAAGCCATCGCAACTCATCAGGGAGAAATGTAGGTTGGGTAGAAGTGAAATTCCTGTCAATATCAAGTAGTCGAAGCTTTTTCATGCTTGCAAAAACATCAGCACTTAAACACAACTTTGCATCATAGTCAACAGTATGATATTCATTGTCCATCAACATTATGGCTTCAATCGATTTTGGACTCTGCAACAAAGAATTAAGGCATCTTTATTAGGATATATTAATTAGAAGCAAAAGAGAAAGCAACTTTGTAAAGATATTGGATAAATTTACCTTGTTTCCCTTGATGAAATCATGTATATGTTCAAGTTGAAATAGCCTGCAGCTGCTATTTGGAAAGCTCTCACGAACTATTTCCCAACCCATTTCCTGTATGAGGTCATGCATATGTAACTTTTTATTTGAAACAGTTATAAGAGATTTTTCAATAAGAATACTAATCCCTATTACTGGGTGAAAACCAAAGGTATCGAGTACTCTAGTTACATGTTCTTCATCTTTGCCCTTGAAGAAACATGCAATGTCTAGGAATATTTGTTTCTCAGAACCATTTAGCCCATCAAAACTCAACTTTAACGTTTCAAGAATTTTATCATCTGATGTTTTTCCAAGTCTATTTAAAGCATTTTCCCATACACCTACTTGTCTTCCACGGAAGAATGATCCTAAAACTTTCAGGGCTAGAGGAAGACAACTAGCGTAGTGTATTGCACGATATGACAACTCCTCATACCCATCCAAAGGACCACTTTTCCCAAAAGCATGCCTACTGAAGAGCTCAACAGCTTCATTCATCAGTAAAACATCAGGTTTATAGATGGCATCAGTATCTGATAGCAAATGCTCGTCTCTAGTGGTTATGATGATTCTACTTCCAGAACCAAACCACTCACGTGTTGCAGCTAGGAACTCTAATTGCTCAATATCATCCACATCATCAAGAACAAGTAGAACCTTTTTATTGCAAAATCTTCTCTGTATCATCTCGGCTCCATACACGGGATCCACACGAGACAACTTGGATGTCAAAATTTTCCATGAACCTAGTATTTCTCCTATAATCTTCTGTTGTAAAGCGCATTTATCTTCTTTACTAGAACTATTTTTTCTCACATCTTGAACAAAGCTACTACCCTCAAAATTACAAGCAATTTTTCGAAATAAAGCTTGGGCAATAGTTGTCTTACCGATTCCTCCCATTCCCAATATCCCTACCATACGCACCTCTTCTGTTGCTTCCATGTCCAATAATGGATATGATTCATCTAGACGAGACTTGATACCGATCAAATCTTTCTCCATACCACTAGGTTGTGTACCTTCTAAGATTTGTTCCACAATCTCCGTGATTATGGCAGATTCTCCCCTACAGATTTAAACATTGTTACCAAGTTTAAGTGACATGCATATTTGTGAGTAGTTAATTCTGGATGAACATAATACATGATTCTCATTTTCTTTTATGTAAATACTACAATATGCTAAGATGAAATTTGAATTCGTGATTCGTAAAAGGAAATTAGCCCAAAGTTTATACAAATGGTTTTGCAGAAAATTCGTATATCTGAGAACAGAATAACCCAACAGAACCTTAGAAACTATATCCCAAAATTAAACTTTACCCATAACTCCATGGAATTCACATTTGTGTGTCTGATCATGTAGGAGATAGATAGATGAAAACATATTTATAAAACCATATGAAGATTTTCGAAGGCAAGTTTCAGCAACAATGATAACAAAATAAACTAATATACAGTTATGTACTTTGTTCCTAAAGTCTTTTCTGTTACTCCCTTGGAATTCTTTGATTGTGCATTTCTTACAAGAATGAGAAATAATGGTACTGAGATTTTAGTAGGTATGATTAGGTGTCCGTAAGTAAGTGAAGCATAGATAGAAAAACTAACCCATTGCCTGTTTCCGAGACATGCCAGCCAGATAAATTAGCAGCTTGCGCTAAAGCTTTCCTCCACTTATTCACTTTCTCCATCTCTCCCTTAAACTTGTCCTCGTGTTGCTGAAAGGCAGTATCAAAGTCTCTTTTCTGTCCACGCACATTGGATGGATCTACATGGTAGAACACGGGTAACACCATCTGTCCCATATGAACTTGACATTCCATGATTTTGACAAGCTCATCCAAACACCATGAGGAGTCCGCATAAGTTTTAGAGATAACAACCACAGAAAACCTTGATTCTTCAATGGCTTTCAGCAGCTCCGTAGAGATTGGTTTCCCTTTGTCGAGTTCCTCGTCGTCTTTGAAGGCACGTATTCCTTTTTGAAGTAGAGCCGAATAAAGATGATCTACAAAGTTGTTGCGAGTGTCTTCACCTCTAAAGCTTAGGAACACGTCATTTTTCCATCTTCTAGGTGGTACAGAAGATGACGACTTCAAAGACGCCATTAAAGGCTTCAAGGAATTGAAGAGGCAAAATGCAAGCAGTGGAATTAATGCACAAAAAGAGGCGATGGCCTTTCACCTCTAACACGACTTTCCTTTTTCTATTTGAAATTTATGATGTTGTCAATATTATTATATGTACTAGTGGGGTCTTTGATAGGGGGAAGATGTTATTTTTTAATCTTATCTCGTTTCCAAAGGAATCTTGGAAAAAATGAAAATTTTATACATCTACAAGTTGATAGCACCAAACGTGGTATGGCTATCATATTGACGTGATTTAAACTTAAAGTGGATAGCACCATACATGCATGTTGTCCTCAAAAGAAACATTTTGCTTAAAACTTTTATGTACTATATCTCATCTAAAAAGGAATCACAATGTGCAATCTTCTTTTAGGGCCTAGGAGTGTGTCCATTTCTAGTGAAATATATATACTTTAAAAATGTGCAATCTTCTTTTAGGGCCTAGGAGTGTGTCCATTTCTAGTGAAATATATATACTTTAAAAATAATAAATAAAATAATTAAATAATTAAAATAAAATAAACTAAATTAGAAGCTTTGACTTAACTAATTTGAACTAGGACTTATTTGAGAGGAATCTTGATGGGGTAGGACTCATTGTGTAAATATAAGTTACTAACTAAATTCTCAATTAAATGGTCATAGAGTAAGGTTATTAAATGGAGGGACTAATCATGAAAATGGTCTAGCTAAACTTTTGAAATTAGATCACTACTCCTCTTTTCCATCCTTATTAAAACGATTTCATCCTTATCCTCTCTCCATGGACAAATTTCTCTCTCTAACCTTCCTGATTAAAGCTTGAGGTCCTTGTTGAAACTCATATTGAAATCCTTGCATAATCTAGGATCTCGAAGGTAAAACCTTATATATTTCTTTTTAGTTTTGTTGGGACGTCTATCTGATTGGACAAGTTAATTGTTGTTTATGTGTGATTGCATTCAGTACAACTGATGGTCAATTGTTATTTGTCAATGATTACATCAGTACCACTCATGGTCATCAAGGGTTGCATCATCTGATGACATGAATAAGCTTCATGAAGATCCGTAGAGTTCAAGCCCTAAAGAATGAAGATATGAACCTTATGTGTCAAGGAAATATGACATTGGGTTACCATAATACGAAGACTCCCACTTTATTGGGGATTTCATTTACATGTTTGTTTATCATGCATGTTAGGATAAGATCTTAGGTCGACATATGTAAGCGTGTCGGGGTTTCCGCCAAGAAAGAGGTTCCTATGAATTTCCTGACTGACCCGACAGAAGGAAGGTCAACCCTTAGACCGGCTGACGTTTTGATTTTTGGATGGGTTGGAGGGAAACACGCATGTGTGGACCTTACTGGGGTATCCCCTCTCGTAAGTTTGAGGGTCGGGGGTTTCACGGCGGGACAAGCTGCTACATGCAAGGTCACCAAACATGAGAAACCGTGTATGGAAAATCAACACGCGTTCATACCATTTGCATTTGATACGTTTGGCTTCCTTGCGCCGGATGCGGTGGAACTTCTTAATAGACTACAACGGATCATGCATAGCAATGTTATATCCCCTAGATCTATGGATGTAGTCTTCAAAAGAATTGGCTTTACCATCAAAAGGGCTTAGCGGCGCAACTTGTTGCCCGTTTGCCTTCTCATTCGTTGTATGATGATAACTAAAATGTCTATTTTTATCACTAGATTACATATTTATATTTTTAAAAACCAAAATTTCAAGGTTGGTTTTGCTTTTTGTTTACAACAAAAAAATAAACCGAACCAAACCATATCTTTATATAATGTCATTTTACAAAAAGTGTTATATATATATATATATATATATATATATATATATATATATATATATAAGCTTAGGTTATTATATTCTAACTAATTATTGTGTGAATGTATGAATGATTGTGGGTCAATCATTTTACTTATTTTAAGAAAGTGATTAATACATCTTATTGAATTAAATGTAATTGAAAAATACCATCTAATTTAACTATAAGGGTATTTTAGTCAATTAATATAAATTTAATAAAGGAAATTTTCATATTTTAAGGGATCATAGATTCTATTAATTTTAAAAATCCGATTTTACAAATTATAAGGTTTTTAATTCGGATATTCTGACAGATATGTTTGAGTATGTTCAAAAATAAAAATATTCTTGAACCACAAAATAATAAAAAAATTCTTGAACATATTTCTTGATCATGGCTTTAAAAATTTCTTGTAGAATAACAAAATTCTCGAACCATCAATTGAAGAATTAAAACAAAAATTACATTAATTCTTATAGAATACATGTAACAATTGCTAAGAATTACATTTATTGTAAAAGAATAAAACTAAAAAACTTTCAAATCGAAAAAAAAAACATCAAAATCTAACAAATACACTAATTCATTCTAAAAGAATAATGTTGCTAAGAAACACTTTCAATTTTGTTGTCCGTTTTTCAAGCATCAACTTCTTCAAGCGTCAACTTCTTCAAGCGTCAACTTCTTCAAACATCAACTTCTGTGAAAACAAATCCAATTGTAGTTTAGAATCCAATAACGCATTAGCAAATGATAAATAAAAAACTATATTCCTTTGGAAAAATATGCGGACTTGTTAACTGCACCAAAACCAATAACCAAAAATTTTAGCACATGTATACTCAATGAGAAAATATCCATATTCCATTCCAACAGAATTAGAATTCGTGTTTCCATTCCGATAGAATTTTAATTTGTGATTTCATTCCGATAGAATTGGAATTGTATAAAATATACAAACCACTAAGTGATTACTAGAAAGTAGTTTCATAAGTTGATGGACAAATATATGAATAATACACATAAAGGAGGAGTAAAATTTGTGACAACTTGGACGCCATAAAACTCCAAACCAATAATGATTTTGTAAAACTTCGCAGGTCTAAATTAATGGAAAGCAGAATATAATTCAATTTATAACAATATCATCACAACTTATCAAAACATATTTTCCTTTTGATCACAAAAGTCAAACTAAAAAAAGGGTTCAAAATATATTCAAAATTTTACAAGAACACCAACAATTACTACTCTAATAGCATAATTGTTCAAAAATCCATAAACAAAATAGATGATACCTCATATTAAGATGATGATTCTTCAACACAATTAGTCCACTAAATTTACTAGGCTTACTAGGCGTCAATTAGGTTTAGAAAAAAAAAAGATGTCACCTTAGATTAAATTCCAATAGCCCATTCAAATTAGTTCTCGATGACACACATATATGAAAGTAAAATTTCAATAGCCCATATGAAGGGGCTGATGTATACAAGAAGGACGTGATATGGTGGATTAAAGGAGATGCATCCAGAGGGGCTGCTATATAGGAGTGGCGGTGAAGGGTGGCAGTTTGTGGAGATGACAGCAAGGCTCCGACGACCTCTCTTGGTGTATGTGGAGGTGTGCGACGATAGTGAGCGATGAGCGACGGAGTAGACATGGCAAGCAGATGACGTCGATGAGTAATTGTTGATGGCGATCGGAGATGGCGATGTCAATCGATTTTTGTAGAACTCAAGATCGATTTTGTAGTCTATTCCAATTTTGCAGATCGTCCAAGATTTGGTTTTTAGATAAAGAAGGGAACGACTCTAGATATAAACCTAGAGAAATTAGGTTAAAAGTCAATACCATGATTATAGGGATTATTTTTGGAAGTTATTAATCAAATTACTAAATTACCCTTATTTATTTAATTATTTAATTTTTTATTTAATTTTGATTGGCCCACATTTATGCATACAATCACACAATAATTACTTTGAACACCTGAACCTATCTCTCTCTCTCTCTCTCTCTCACTATATATATATATATATATATATATATATATATATATATATATATATATATATATATATATATAGTCCTGTTCGAGTGAGGACTTGTGAGAACACCTTAAAAATATTGAAAAAAAATCTAAAAAAAATACAAATCATAAAATTGAGCATAGTACTATATCCGAGAGAAAAAAAATTGCAAATAAAATTTTTCATCATTAAAATTTAATCATTGATCATAAAAGTTGAATCATAGATCATAAAAATGATCTATGCTTCAATTTTAATGATGCAAATATTTTTTTCCAATTTTTTTCTCCCGGATATAGTACTATGCTCGATTTTATGATTGTATTTTTTTTAGATTTTTTTCAATTTTTAAGGTGTCCTCACGAGTCATCACTTTAAAATGAGTCCTCCCCCGATCTTATCTCTCTCTCTCTCTCTCTCTCTATATATATATATATATATATATATATATATATAATATATATATATATATATATATATATAGAGAGAGAGAGAGAGAGAGAGAGAGAAAGAGAGGGGGAGAAGGAGAGAAGGAGTTAGGTTTATATATATAAACTCGAAGTACTGTATAAATGTATAACCAATTGTGCACCAATCAAGATTTTCAGAATTTTACTTATAATTATTATAATAAACAAAAACAAATTCTATATTTATAATGATTCCCCTTAAATCACGGAGTAGTTACAAATTATAAAGATAAAGAACGAATTCACGTTATCATTTTTCAGGTTCAACATCACTACATGCCATCACCAAAAATCCCAGATCAGCCAACAACAACATCGTCGGACCGGTTCATCTGAACCGACACACTATCTACAACAAAGAACGACATTATCGCTGCCATAAATCTCGATTTGCCCATGAATTGGGACAATGTAACATCCTAAAATTCTCAGATAAAATTTTCATTTTAAATTCACTCCGATGGTACGATAATCACATCAAACAGTCGAAAGTATATCATAGTAAAATATTATCAGAGTACAAAATCTCAAAATCTTGTGATGCAGAAAAACATAGATGGATTCAGTGCGATCAGGTCGGGACCTTCCCTTTTGAGCTGGAAGTACCTGAAAAATAGACTGAAAACCTTAAGCACAAAGCTTAGTAAGTTCCCCCAAAATACCCTAACCATGCATATATAACAGTCAAAAACATATTGGATCTATTTCACACCCTTCGGTATCTTTCAACCGGT